TTAACACTTGAGCAATAGAATCACATGTTTAATTTTATGTTATTAATTCCTTATTCAAATTGCATACCCTTTGTTGCTAGGAAGGCCATAGATATATGAAAGGGAACAATATACACAAATCACAAATTTCATAGGTCACAAATTGACCATACATTATTTAATGATCAAAGATCACAAATTTTATAGGTTACAATTTATTTATCAAATTAATTGGTCACAAATTAATTCTCGATTACAAATTTTGAAATTAATTGATCACAATTCAACAAATTGTAAGTCACGATTACAAATTTAGTTGCACTATCACTTTTTTTTAGTGTCATACATTATTTATTGTTAACAAATTTAATCCATTTTATTTGCCGCAATTACCAAAATCCCATTCCACCCCACTCCAACACTTGCAACAACCAAACGTTGAACCGCCATCACAACCCATAGAAAATCATCCACCCACATATTAGAAAACCACCCATAGATTAGAAAATCACCAACAACGTTGTGCGTAGCGACACTTGCTAGCACCACCTCCACCACCATCACTTGTACAACCACCTAATCACAAATTAGATAACCACCAACAAACCAACAGCCATGCGAGGCGCCATTGAGTGCAGTGGTAGATATAAGTTACCAGAGAAGAGACTATTACTAGAGAAGATTAGTCGTCGAAGAAGAGATTGTGAATTTGGGTAAAGAGAGAGATGAGAGAATAGAGAAGAGAAACAATCTAGGGTTCGTGAGTGAAATTGGGTGTGGTGGATGGGGTTGGGTAGGTATGTAGATTAATGTAATTTTCTATTATTAATATTTAAAAATTAAATTATCACATAATTTTTGAAAAAATAAAAAACTTTTAAAGATGATTTTGAATTATGAAGTTAACAAACGTGTAATTATCGAGTGAATTGTCCAAATGATCACTGAACTTTACAAAAGGTTTTCAATGGGTCACTGAATTTAAAAAATCACCTAAATGATCATTGAACTTTGCAAAAAGATTTCTCAGGGGTCATTGGCTCATAGAAAACTTTTGCAAAATTTAGTGACTATTTAGGTGATTTTTAAAGTTTAGTGACTTCATAGAAACCTTTTGCAAAGTTCGGTGACTATTTAAGTGATTTTTAAAGTTCAGTAACCCTTTGAAAACTTTTTACAAAGTTCAATGACCATTTGGACAATTTACTCTGTAATTATCACTATATGAAATGTCCTTTTGCCTTACAAATTGCAAATAATGGGCTAAGGCCCATTTTGATAAAATCACAAAAGTGGAAATGTCATCGGGAACCTAAAATTTATAAAAAATTCATTTTTTACATTAACAAACTTTTTTCACCAAATATACTACCGGCCGTGCTAGGCGTACAGAATGGGTGTTTACGGGCCCTTCACAGAATCACGCGTCTGGCACACATTTTTCACGAATTTTTCCCTCAGAACAAAGCCCCAAACGAAAGGTAAGAAGAAAGAAACCATTATTCTCTCACCATTTCGAACCCTAAAATTCGCCTCCACCTCTGGCCGGTCGAAATCGACCTTCGCCAGCCCGATCGACGAATTGCCGCAGCAAAATCCACAACGTTGAGCCTGTGGAGTAGTGTCGACCCAGTATCTGCCATCGTTTAGCTTCAGGTAAGCCGAAATCACGTCACTCTACTTCGATCGGTAGACACCCCACCCCACAATAATCACTTCTTATTTCGACAATCAGTAACTTCAACCCACTTGGACTCATTTCTACATCTCTCTGTAAGTGTTGATTTTCCCTCCACGGGATTGGTGTTTGTATTATTCGAACTGGGTTTTTTGGGTTCTCATTTAGTTTTTATATTTTGTGATTTTTAAATTGATTTGTGTTTTGGTCATGAGTCTGTATTATGAACAAACAAGGTGTAATTCAGGTTTGTATAGAATTTGCATATCAATGTGTGTATTTATGATCCAAATGAAAGTATAACTTGTAGAGGTTAAAATTCTTGAGCCTAGAAGAAACTGACATTTATTTGAGTGGTTGTGATTTGAGAGCCTTTCTGTGATTTTATTTTGTCAAATTTTTTAGTATTCGGTTTGTATGTACAGTAATTGAATTAGGTATGTTGGGATCTTTTTAATCTTCTGCTTACTGTGATTTCTTAAGCAATGTAGTTCAACTTGTAGATTTAAACGTATAATTCATGTTAGCATATGAAGAAGTTCATTTAAAGTTTAGATTTAAAATATGTAATTCTCAAGAATTTCACTGGATTTTTCGATAGTAATAATTCAGTTTTTTTTCTTCCAGGATGAGGGGAAGGAATTTTGGGGTTTGTCACGGCTGTAGAAGTACGGACCACTCCTTCCTAAATTGTCCAATAAAATGACGATGCCCATGGTGTACACGGATTGCAAAATATTTTGAAGTTGAAAGGGAGACAAAGAACAAAGGGCGATTATTCAAAACATGTAGTGTTAACTGTTGGTATTTTGATTGGGTCGTAAATGAAGAATCAAGTGGTGAATATAGCATGACTAATGAAGCAGTGAATCCCGAAGCCATTGAGGAATCCGAAGATTTGCCGACCATGTTCGATAGTCTAGCTAGAATAGTTGAGAAAAGAGATATTGAAATTTCATTGAACATTACGTTTCGTAAGAGAAAGGAAAGTGCCGAAGTGAATGGGAATGGAAAAGGGAAGGGCCACGCTGCATAGGCAGTAGGCAGAACTGATTTTAATTTTTCGGAATATTAATTTGCTATTTTTGTCCATAAATAAATTGAGTATGTTCTATTGCTTAGGTTAGGTGGTGGTAATTGGTGGCTGTGTTTAGTTTGATCTTCATTAAGTGTTAAATAGGTAATGGATGTTTAAGATGGTGGTGCTGGAGAACTTGTCCGGATAATGGCGGTTTGTTCACTTGAGTTAAACTATGATGTATATATATATTATGATGGCAGAGGGATGGATGACTAAAGATAAACATTTAATTTTCGAAGTTCCTGAAGATACACATTGGATTTGAAGAGTGCTTTCCCAACAAATTGTAAAGGTAAAGTATGCTGTTTCTTGGTTCAGATTTTGTGGAATGCGGCTTCCTTCCCATCCAATATTTGAATGCACCTACTAACTCCTTGTGATGTGTGATCAACCCACAACGCAGGCTGGCACAAGGCAGAGTAGTAGTAGGAAGTAAGTTATTGATAGTGGCAGCAGGAACTCTATTCATAATGTTTGAAAATGAAGTTGAAAGGATGTACCTGGCATTTGTTTGTGCAATTGTAATTGAATCTGTATTCTGAATCCAATCTTAGATTTTTTTTAGCCTCGCTTGGTAGATGGTGAATGTACTCTCTCTCTTTTACTTGGCACATGCGTGTTTTATAGCACAACAAAAAAATTGACCAAAGTTCATTTTGTTGCATGCTTGCATTATTAATGTCATCAAGCCATTGAGTATGAGAAAGCATGTAGCATAATGGGATCAATTTCATAGGAACTGGTTGATATTGATGCTTATGATTCAAACTAAATTTTGATATTGATGATCGTTTCGAACTGGTTGCTGAACCTGTTGAATTACTCCGGAATACACAGAAATCAAAAGCAACAGTTGATGATGAATTCGATTCAAAATATTTTTCTATTGGAATTACATCTGCTTGTGAAAAATCATGAGAAAATGAAATCCTAGGACTCACGTTTGTGCTTGTAAGATTATCAGAACATAATTCAATTGCCATTGCATTAAAAAATTCACTATTCAACTTTCTTGGCAGAATTTAAGGTCACAAAACAGGCATTATAACTTGAAAATTTAAAACATTTAAAGAACAAAGATGAAAATTATCCAAGAAGCTATAAAGAACATATGTGGATATAGCCTATGTTAACACTAAAAAAAAAGTAAAGAAAAAATAAACCACTGGCAATTCCACACATGTAAGATCATATATCAAAGATGCACATTGTATCTAAAATTTGCGTCTCCATTTTTCATGGTATATCTCAACCTACATACTTAGCCAAAATACATAAACACCCTCGTGCAATCCTTCAGTTGGAAGATAACTAAGTCCAAAATCCTTTACAAGCAAAAATTAATAACAGCTAGAAATAAAAGGTGCACAAACTTTTTTACAAATAACGTCACAATTACAATGGATAAATCATTCAAAAAAGTTCACTTGTCATCTAAGATTCAAGCATCATTGTGAAACGACGTTCTTGGATGAGTAATTGGGAGAACGTTGGACAAATTTGCCAAGTGCGTTGCTCTTGAAAAAGAATCTGAACCTTGAACCTGAAAGAAGGGGAAAAATAACATAACACATGAGACGCTAAATTCGGTCTAACAACATTATGGTCTAACATCGAGATTCACTTAAAATGAACCTGAAGATAATTGTATGCCATTTGGCTCGTCCTAGTCACTGCAACTTCGGGATACGGTAAATGCAAGTTACAAAATACGCACCTAAATTAAAATTTTGGTTAGCAAACACATGAAACAAGGGGAAAATTGGACTATTAATTAAGATTATGTAAACACGTGTTCACCTTGTGAATTGAATACAACATTAGGAGACAACAATGAAGGTTGCGTACACACTTGACTTTCGAAGTCACCCTATGTCCAATACCAACATAATTAGAAAATAAAAATATAGAAAGTAAGAAAATAAATTACGCTTACTGACCAACACAAGCTGTGAATATGAGAATGGTGTTGGCTGCGAATGTTGAAGTTGTTGAGATTGCTGGACTTCAGGTGCCGCCTCTTCCATATTAGTACGCCTATCTCTCAGTCGCTTTCCTTTGTCTGACTTCGAACTTGCCTACATAGTCATGGACAGAATTCAAATTTTGTGCTGGAGTTCGTGTGTACTTGAAGAGATTAATAGGGAAAAATATCGTTACCTTCTTCGAAATAGACTCCAACGGGTCTTTTTTCCTAAGCTTCCTTGGCGCATCCTTTCTGTTTGACGAGTTAGGATTCAACACACTCACGCCAATGGTATTCTACGATCCAATACACTGCTTGCCACCCTGAAAATTTTGCTGGGGAAGGACATTACTACCACCACTCGACCGGGAAGTCTTCAACTCTGTTGCTTGGCATTTTATCCAATCCATTATTGCTCGAGCCCGCCCTTCGTCATTCGCAGCGAGGTCTGCCACCTCCGAAAATGCTTGACACATATCATCATATCTTAATTGTTCAAGCATACTAACCAACCCGACGTAGTTCACTGTGACCCTCGTATGTGCCCTACTGACATCTCTCCTCCACCGCCGCAATATATACTTCTCTAGCATTTGTGTCAAGTCATTACGATCCAACACAGTGATCACATGCCTACAGATAATTTCTCGAAACTCAAACAAGTGGCAACTACACATCACTTCGCTAGTCTCCCTCCGAAATGAGACGAGAAATGTTTTCTTCTTCCTACCCTCGAGGTATACTACAGACTCCCGAACCTCGTACTTCACCCCCTCCAATCCCTCTACTTCTGAAGCGACATCACAGTAAATCTTTCCTACAAACTCATCTTGAACTTTGAAATTGTGTATGCTAATTGAAATTGTTTTTCCATCTCAAAAGTTGTTGCACACGGGACCATTTGCGAGTATGATTTGAAATCTGCCTGGAACTCTTTTTCAACCTTATTCCTCAGTGCTCGTTCGTACTGTTCAATGAACTGCTTCAAAGAGGTCTTCGAATGGATGTACCCATCGAAAAATGCATTCATACTTTCACTTCGTTGTGCTGTAGACATCCCGGCCTAGAAAGTTGTTTTCAAAAAGCAAGGCACCCAACGACCTCGATTTTCGTACAATCCAAACAACCAATCATTGTCATGCAACTTAAACTCATTGATCATGGCTCTCCAACCTTTTTCAAATTCATCAACAACCTGCGAGTCATACACCAAACGATGTATAGTCGAAAATATTGAACTTTTATCAATGTGGTACCCAAACTTCTCTGGCAATTTCTTCATAATGTGCCACAAACACCATCTATGTTTAGTATTCGAAAATACAATCTCGATTGCATTCTGCATGACTTTGTCTTGATCGGTAATTATTCCACATGGACGTTGATCATGCATGTACTGAAGCCACGTCCTAAACAGCCAGACAAACGTACTTGTATTTTCATTAGATAACAAGCCACAACCAAGCAGTGTTGATTGTCCGTGATGATTCACACCAACAAAAGGTGCGAAAGGCATGTCGTACTTATTCGTCAAATAAGTGGTATCAAAAGTTACAACATCGCCGAACTCCTTGTAAGCTTGCCTACATCTATTATCTGCCCAAAATACATTCTTAAGTCGAGACTCGTCATCCAAATCCATAGTGAAGTAAAACCCTCTGTGAAAAGTAAGATTGTAATGCTACTGCATCTCCCTCTCCAAGTCATAACCGTCTAACTTGTTCAATATAATTTTGGAAATCTTTTTCAATACAGGTCATAATCTCATACCCACCTGCCTCTACAACTGCAGAGTTAAAACTTTTGTACAGTAGAATTCCCGCTATGTCATTCAATTCAAGCTTCCGTTTTACATTTGCACTTAATTCCCGATTGCACCTAAACATCCTAGACTTCGAAGGACTTGTCTTATGGTTGTGCTGGAGGTTGACGGTGTTAATTCTTCATGTGCCATTACAGTCTGCAGATGCAGATATCCGTGTTTTACAATCTGTTTGACTTGTTGGTTGCGGCCTTAAAGCACTGTTTGTATTACTAGACCTTCAGCCTTCACGACTACATGTAAATATCACAAATCTAACAATTCCATCATCTCTCTTTTTAGAATTTCTTTTTCTGACTGGAAAATCAACTGCATAGGCATATTGCTTGTAGAAATCAAACAACTCCTTTTCATTTTTAAATGTTATACCCACCTCGGGCACAATCTCTCCATCTCCTCTCAAGGTGTCGTTATCCACAACGTTGATATTGTCCGAAACTATCTCATTATTGGATTGCATGAAACCATTTTCGTTCCTGGGTTCCATATTTTCGCACTCTACATCAAAGCAGAAAGATAATGTTCAGCAAAATAAAAAACAATGATAGAAACGAGAACCAATATGATGAGGTACTTCAATTAACTTGTTCAAGGAAAATAGAAGTTTAAGCGTCAATAATTAGTCTCAAATAATATACATGAAAGATTACATAACATCTCATGACAACGTTGATCATGCACCCGAGAACAGAGAAACTTGGCACCTCATAATTTCATATAAGGGTACCAGTTTGGTTGTGGACTCTGTGACTTGAGCTTTGAACTAGTAAATATTTGAGGTTTCTACTTCAATTTAGATATGATTTTACTATGATTATACTATGTTGACTAGATTCCAAGGTCTGTTACTGGATGCATCCATTGCTCTGTAACTCTCCTGTTTTATGACAACATCTTCATTGAGGTTCTAGTTCCAGGATGGGATGTTGTCTAGGAGAAACAAATGGTGCTAAACTAGTAGATACAATGAGATAATAAAGGAAACATGGAAGTCTTAAAATTTGAAATAATAATTTGATCTTAATCCACTACGCAGGTATAGTGAAAAGATAAATCGAGGTTATATATTCTCAGTCCCAAGCACTAGAATGCTCGCAAAACCTAGTCAGAATAGATCAAAACAAATTTTCACTAGGTTCTTTTACACATGTTGATCACTGTTCAAATCAACTTTACTTCATATGAACTACATTTTTATTTCTTAATAATCCTATTAAAACATGACTTCTCACAAATATAAAGCAGCCACTCGCTAAACAAGAAGGGTCATGGAAAAGCTCAATCAAAAGTTTGTTTTGCTTTGCTTAATTGACCATTAGATTTTCTGAGGCTTTTTTGTGAAACTCACTGGCATTCAGATTCAGATAAAAAATGAAAATGTACAAGAATAATGAAGTACCTGAACCTGGATATTTGGATAGAAGCTGAGGTCCTGCAGTCCTCTTTCCGGTGAAGTAACCCGACGAGTTAAAGGGGCTGAAAATTGCACACGTGGAAGGCCTCACAAGAATAATGAAGTACCTGAAGCTGGAAGTTTGGAGAGAACCTGAGGATCTGCGTACAGTTTTTCGGTGCAGTAACCCGACGAGTTAAACGAAAAGAAAATTGCACACGGAGAAGGCCTCTTTCACGTCCCTTCACAGTCTAGCCGAAGATCGGTACCAACCGACGCATTCACCTCCGACCGGTAAGATTTCTAGTAAAGGGACGCAGCTTCTTTTCCTCTAAATGAAAAGGAAGGCTTTGTTTCTGGCGTTGAAATTATGAGACATCTTCCCCCTCCTTTTTTTTTTTTTTGGTTTCCCGCCCTTTTCACTCCTTTTAGTGGCCACGTCATTTCCTTCCAAAATTCTGTAAAAGGTCTATAGCTTCCACTCTGTACGTCCAGCATTCTTGATATACTACAATATATGTAGAATAAATAAAAATGCCAAATATAATAAATCCTATAGTTAATATAGTAAAAGCTGAAATCAAGCATCCAAACACGCCTCTTAACCCGCCGCCAATTCACGCCACAATAATCCCCAATCTCCTGAATCACCATTACACCGACAATCCAAGAATTTGGTGAATCAAAACTAAAAAAATCTTCACTACACTACAATCGTATCTCAATCTGTAATAATATTCAGATTAGAAAGAGGTAAAGCGGAATTGTTGAAGCTGAAGGAAATGATTCAAATTCAAGAAGTGATTTTGGTATGTGAAATTTTAATTACATTAACTCAAAAGAAATTGAAACGTTTTTAATTTTGTATGTTTGTTCTTAATGCATTGTTTATTCTGATTTATTAAATAATTCTTGTTACTCTGTTGATAGATTTGAAAACTTTTCTTTTAAATATTATCAACATACTAAGTTGGTCTTGCGAGTCTTGCTCATGGTAGACAAATTCATGTGCAGATGTTAAGGTCCAAATTCGATGATGATTGATGATGTATATGTTTTCTCAATTTTGATCAAAATGTACATGCAATGTGGTGATCTTTGTTGCTGCCAAAAGAGTGTTTGATAGGTTTCTGCATAAAGACAATGTGATGTGGAATTCTGTGATAACAGGTTAAGTACAACACAGTTTGGGAAGATAAGCTCTACTTGGGTTTCAAGAGATGTACTCTTCAGGCATTGCTGCAGACGATATTACATTTGTTGGAGTTCTCTTAGCTAGTAGTTATTCTAGACTAGTCAAAGAGGAAAATGAAATCGGAATGAAATATTTTGAGTCCATGAAATCAAAATATTCGGCAAGGCCCTCCTCGGAACATTATGCTTGCACAGTTGATTTGTTGGGGCGAGCTGGTCGCTTTAGCGAGGCTATGGATCTAATTAACGTTATGCTAATGGAAATAGATGCAATTTTTGGGATTCTTTAATGGGTGCATTTAGGACACACAGAAACTTGGATCTAGCTGAAGTAGTAGCGAGTGTTTCATCTACAACTTTAGCCTAAAAATGCCGGACCTTGTATCCTTCTATCAAACATTTACACATCAAAAGGAAAATGGTCTAATGGTGCCTGACTGAGGTGAAACGTGCAATGTAGAAAGGTGAGCAAGTTACATGGCTGTAGCTGATTTAGGTAGAAAAACTGGTGCATATGTTCACTGGTGGTTCGAGCACACTCATCTCGAGCATTTTATGATTATTATATTGCTAGAGAAATTAACTGGACCATTAAGAGAAGTTGGATATAATCTTGATGGCTCATGTACTGTGCATTATATGGAGGAAGAAGAGAAGGCATGTAGTTTGGGATATCATAGTGAGAAGCTTGCACTAGCCTATAGACTTCTCAAGTTGTCTCAAAGGGTGCCCATTCGGGTGACAAAATACATGAGGGTTCGTGGAGATTGCCACGCTGCCATCAAACTATTTGCAAAAGTCACAGGCCAAGGGATCATCTTGAAGGATGTAAATAGATTTTACCATTTTAAGGATGTTTTATATTTTTGCAAAGATTATTAGTGTTCAAATGCCTATATCAACCAAAAAAATATTGTATATTATATTAAACTCATTGATTGTTGTGAAATTGTTAGATAATAGTATATTGAATAAGATTCCAACTTTTGTGTTTTTCCTTTTTTCTATAATCTAGTTATACTTAAACCTAAACAAAAAGCATCATTGATATATTATTATCAAACTATTGTAATAAACTTACATCAACATAAGCTATAAAATGTTACATAAGATGTGATGTACCATCAAAATCATAACAAAATTTAGATTCTAGCCAAACATCATGAAACAAGTTTAAAATCCAATGAGCAACATCTGAAACCATATATTTTGCCTACCATCAAATGTGAAAATAATTGTGTGGATTTAGTTTTTCTTTGGACAATTGAATGATGCTAAAAGAACTTCAAAAGATGTGAGGTTTTTTGCAGGAACTATTGACCAGTGACATATTTGTTGCCTGTGTAGTTGTCTTGAACTCCATATATTACTTATAGATGAAGAGGGAAGTATAATTGTAGGCAACGTTTTGCTTTCTTCCAAATGTGAAAAAATAAATGGCATAATAAAACCCTTGACTTTCGTGCCTTACGAGAGTGCTACTTATAACTAGTTGGCACAACAAAATAGGTTTCCCATTTACAAGCTTCAAGACCACCATTATATGAATGGTTAGCAACTGATCGGGATTGTTCATAACTCCACCACACATGTGAGGAGCAGTCGGAACAACGAGAATTGACTGTCGAGTTATATCTAGGTCATACTT